ATTTGATAAAACCACCATACCTAAACGATAGACGTTACTAATTTTATTTTTGCAAAAGTCAACGTAAGGGACCCTAACAAGGCGAATTGACTTAGGGAAATTGGCCATTTCCTGGAAGCTGCGGTAGGCTAAGCGTGAGCCAACAGCGGTGGCATTGACTTCAGACGAGGCGCCCCATGCGACAGCTCCACAAATCGCCTCCACTCTTCACGCTCACGGACCATAAATTCTCCTCCGCCGCCGACCAAGGAAATGCCTCCTCCGCTGGCAGCCTCCCGACAACTCGCCACCACGGATAAAAATTCCGCTTTTAATTTTATATTTAATCCGTTCAATATTTTAAAAAATGGTAATAAATCAATTATCTGTTATATACTAAATTAAAAAAAAAAAAAATTTATTCTGTATAATATTTCATTTTTGGAAATCCATTCAAATTTTGAAATTAAAAAAAAAAATCAATCAAATTAATTACACAGTAAAATTGGTAATTTAATAAAATAAAATCCATTATCCGAGATTTAAGAGATTTATTTAATAATAATAATAATTATTATTATTTTTTATTATATCTGCCATCCATCCCTATCCTTACATTTTTAATTAATTAGGGCATGGGGTAGGGTTTGCTGGGGAAGCCTCGTGAACTCCAAAATATATTTATTTTTATTATTATTTTTTTTAATTTTATCTTTTATTGTTTGGATAATGCTGACGGCCACCTGTTGCATAGGTAGACTCGTGATTTTGGGTTTACTTTTATAAATTTATTAATTATAATTATTTAATGCGCGCATTAACTCACCAAACTCCCACTAATCTTATTTTTTAAAATAAATAAATAATTAAAACCTTAAGATTTTTAATAAATTAATTAATTTTTTATTGTTAAGAAATATTAGACTTGGTTAAGTTATTTTTTTACATAATTATTGAAAATAAAATTAAGAAATTATAATTTAATATTTTTGAAATTTTGGAGGGCTGTGCCAGCTGTGAGGTCCAGTGAATGTTTCACTGGAGCTACTGGCTACCGGTTACGAAGGTAGCCAATCCATAGAGGTCTACGCGGTATTATTACAAAGAAATTAAATAACCAAAAACTGGAAGCGCCAAATATCACGTGCACATCACGTGCTCTTCCCATTGGATACCCACTGCCAATAGCATTCCTTTACGCGTCCCGATGAATTGACATTCATGCACTGCCTCCAGCCTGTCACTCACTCCCCCAACGTCTATTTCCTTTCCTAATTTCCCCATTTTACCCCTACCCTCCCTATACCACCCTCAGGACAAATCTGACTTTTCCTCCACCAAAAGTCATCTTACTGTATCTAACCTGTAAAAAACACGTCTACATTTAAAATCCAGAGATTTTCAGTTTCCACTACAACTCGAGCGTGTATCTCACGCGCGAATCGTACGATAAACAACGGCGCGTTGTAACTACGCGCGGGTCGCTATGCTTAAACGGAATTGCCTACATGGTAAGTCAAATTCCACCTCATCTTCATATCTACCATTTTTAAAAAATAATAATAATAATTTATTTATCCATCAATTCTTGGCAGCTTCCAGTTCTTCCACCTATATATATAAACCCGGTCGGCTTATTATTCCTTCACAAACCAATTCATCGTCTTTCTCCTCTGCTTCTGCTTCATAACAATGGCGGCCTCGATGTTCCAAATCTTTGTCTTTATTTCCTTCTTCCAAATCTCCATTGCTTCCAGGTTGCTTAATGAGTTCATTCCCGACCAGACCCAGTCGCTGAAATACCACAACGGCCCTCTTCTTTCCGGCAAGATCCGTATCAATCTCATATGGTATGGTAAATTCAAGCCGTCCCAGAAAGCAATCGTTAATGATTTCCTTACTTCCCTGTCGGATTCTTCCATTAAAGCCGCCGCGCCGTCGGTCGCCTCGTGGTGGAAGATGACGGCGAAGTACTATGAACTTTCCGACAAGAAATCAACTCCTCTGTTTTTGTCGGTCGGAAAGCAAGTTCTCGATGAGAATTACTCGTTGGGGAAAGCGCTCACCAACAAAAAAATCGTTCAATTAGCTTCAAAGGGTGACCAAAAAAACGCGATTAATGTCGTTTTGACGGCGCCGGATGTCACCGTCGATGGATTCTGTATGAGCCGCTGCGGCACTCATGGCTCTGCCCCCGCCGCCGCCGGAGTTAAAGGCAAAAACTACAAATTCGCTTACATTTGGGTTGGGAATTCCGAAACCCAATGCCCCGGGCAGTGCGCGTGGCCATTCCATCAGCCGATTTACGGCCCGCAATCGCCGCCTCTGATTGCGCCGAACGGCGATGTGGGTATGGACGGAATGATTATAAACCTCGCCAGTCTCTTGGCCGGAACCGTCACGAACCCATTTGGAAATGGATACTTTCAAGGTCCGGCGACGATGCCATTGGAGGCTGCCTCGGCCTGCACCGGCATCTATGCCAAAGGGGCTTATCCTGGTTACGCCGGCGATTTGTTGACGGATTCCACCACCGGCGGGAGCTATAATGCTAACGGCGGTAACGGAAGGAAGTACTTGCTGCCGGCGTTGCTGGACCCTTCTACTTCGGCTTGTTCTACATTGGTTTGAGATGATCATAGTTTAATGACGCATTAAATATTTAATTCGTTGATTTCTTCATTTGTTGTAGCTCTGTTACATATCTGATTAATTAATCACAGCAAATCTCTTTTATTTGCTTAAACCCTTCAATTATTACAATAATTATATGAATTAAAATTTTAAATTAATTTCAATTTATAAAATTTTTATTATCATTAATTGTATTGGGCTTGTTGGTTTTTTGATTGGCCCATGGGCCGTTCATAGAAAGCCCACCTACTAAGTCTATATATATGATTTAATAAATAATTTATTCTTTTAATATAAATTATATTAAAAAATTAAAACATTCGCATAAATTCAATAATATTGAGAAAAAAATATAATATGAGATTTGATGTAATTTTAAAAATTTTAAATTTTAAAATAAAATTTATAAAAATGGGACAAAATAAGAATTGTTTCGAGGTGGACGAAGAAATCATTAATAAATTTATGTAAGACTCGGTTTAATGTTGGTTTGGTTGTCGTTTTTTGTTTTTTGATTTTATTATTATTATTTTTATATATTTGGAAATTAGTTATGAATTCCATTAATTTTAATACCATATAATAATAGACCATTGAAGAAAGGTATAAATGGAAATAAAATAAAATAAAATAAAAATAATGAACAAAAATATTAGAATAATATAAAAGTAAAAGAATAAAATCTTTGAATAATATAAAAAGTAAAAACTTGTAAAGACCGAATAAAATCGTAAAATTTCATTATCGAATTTAATTTTTTTAAAATAAAAAAATTAATGGAAAAATAATTATTTTATTTTAATTTAAGCACGTGTTTATTTATTTATTATGGGATTTTAATAATTAAATAGGCATGTGGAAATGTACGACGGTCCGACATTTGTGAGTGGCTAGGACAACTATGTTGGAATTTTCACGGGGTACCCTTCTTTTATTTCGTGTTAAAGGAATAATTGGTAAGTATTTTAGAGATATGTCGCTAATTTATTAGAACTTTATTTCAATTATTTTTTCTTTTTCTTCTTTCTTTTGTTAATTATTTGTGTACTGAAATATTTATTTTAAATAATAATGTGAGCGAGGTTTTTTATTTCAAACCATTAAATATTATAACAATTTTAAAGTATTTAATTAATTAAGAGCATTTATTACTTCCAAGTTTATTCCAAGCATATTCTAAAACATTTTGCAAAAAAATTAAATTTTTTAATTTTTTAATTTTGTTTTTTAGGGACTTCTCGTCATCATAATTATTCGTACCGGGTTGAAGTGCCTAGACACTGTTTGATCAGAGCCGACGAACGAATGACTGTATTTTTCACATCAGATGCTAGAATATGAAAGAAGATAACATTCATACGTTCCAAGTCAACTTATAAAGTAGCTACCAAAATCTCATCTATTATCAATTTGCGTGTTCTCGTAACAAGATAAGTCATTCTCGTGAAAGAGTTAGAACAAGTTGCCTAATTTAGTGTCAAAGGTGCAGTGATTGGTCTTCTACTCGAGTTTGGTAATCACATTAGAACATTTCATTCACTGTTGTTGTGCTATGTGTCATAATTGTACATTTGCGACAACAGGACAACGATTGTGCGACATTTATTCTAACTTAACGAACAAGTCAACCGTGTGAAATTCAAACTTAGCGATAATACTGGCGTATACTTGAGTCTTAAGTCACGTTTGAGAGAAATGTCTTAGAAAGCATGAGCGAGAAAATACGTGTTACAGGCTAGAAAAGAATAAGCGACAACTATGGGTTTGATAGCATACAATCCGATAGGAAGAATTGACAACTAGTCATATCTATTATAGTATATTTTGAGACACTTTAGCTGTGTTGGGTGTAGGTATGTTTTTTGTGACCGGTCACAACAATAAATTTTGAAATGGATATGCGAACCACGAACAACACGTCCTGGACAAACATAACTAGGACATCCAACATAGGGATACAGACAAACGCCTTGAACAAGCATAACAAACTACCTGTATTAATTTAATTATTTAAATAAAGAAAAAAGATGGTGTCCACGTGGACCGGTTGGTGAGCTTGGTAGGTAGGTGGCTTCAAAATGGTTAGGGGACGTTTTCTAACCCACTGGTTAGGTGGCCCCTCATCCTAATTATTTATTTTTCTTTTTTTATTTTTCCTCCAAATTTTAATTTATTTTATTGGCTTTATCACAAAAATAAAATTATTTTAAATTTACATATTTATATTTAAATTGCACCGTTAGTCATAACAGCGCTACTAAACTCCGTTTATTTTCCGTCCCGTCTTCACGGCGTCGAATATTTTATTCAAAAAATAAAAGAAAAAGAAATTAAATTACAACGTGGCTTCTCTCCCGGTCTATTTAAGATCCATTGTCTGCGCAGTTTATTTAGCAGCTGAGAACTGCCGCGGAAATCGAAGAAGCCAACGGAATCAATGGCTCTCTCTAGCAGTTCTCTTGTTCCGATCAATTCTTCTGTAAGGAATCGGAGCCCTTTCCCTTCCTCTAAGCCTCGCCATTGTTCTCTCAACTTCGATGATCGAAAGTCTCTGCGGATCATCGCCCAGGCTTCTGAGTCTGCCAAGAATCCGGCGGTTTCCGATCCACCGGTGGAGAAGAAATCGGTTCCGCCGTCTGTATCGGCTGCTACGAACTCGACGGTGAAGCCGGCTCAGAAGTTGGGCTCTGAGAAATGGACTCCCGACAGTTGGAAGTCGAAGAAAGCTCAACAGCTTCCTGAGTATCCGAATCAGGAGGAGCTTCAATCGGTGCTTCATACGTTGGAAGCGTTTCCCCCACTCGTCTTCGCCGGAGAGGCGAGGAGTCTGGAGGAGCGTCTGGCGGAGGCGGCGATGGGGAATGCTTTCCTTCTACAGGGTGGGGATTGTGCTGAGAGCTTTAAGGAATTTAATGGTAATAACATTCGTGATACCTTTCGGATTATTCTTCAAATGGGCGCTGTTCTGATGTTTGGAGGTCAAATGCCAGTCATTAAGGTCTCATTTCGTTTGCTTCTGTGTTTAATTTTTCAATCTATTTCGTTTTCCTCGACGATTTCGGTAAAATTGATCCGTGAATCTGGAAATTGGTTGTTTAGGTTGGAAGAATGGCCGGCCAGTTTGCGAAGCCTAGGTCAGACCCGTTCGAAGAGAAAGACGGTGTAAAGCTGCCGAGTTACAGGGGAGATAATATCAACGGGGATGCTTTTGATGAGAAGTCGAGGATTCCAGATCCTCAAAGGTTAATCCGAGCCTACTGTCAATCGGCGGCGACTCTGAATCTTTTAAGGGCTTTCGCCACCGGTGGTTATGCAGCCATGCAGAGGGTCACACAGTGGAACTTGGATTTTGCAGAGCACAGCGAGCAAGGAGATAGGTATTGCTTTATTCAGATTCTTTCTCTTCTTAAATTCATTCTGGTCAAATTGAGATCGTTTAAAGTAGCTTAATGAATCTTTGACATTCGTCTGGTTTCTGATTTTCATTGTTCTTTTGATGAGAATCGTCTGGCTTTTGATGATTCTTTTGTTTCTGTGCCATTTCCTGCACGCTTGGATCATCTGTTCTTCCATAGGATACATATTTTGAATGCGCCCTGTTTCTAATTATGCATATTGTTCATCACAAGCAAGATTAGAGATATGATTGGCATGAATTCTTACTTTCTTGGATAATTGAATTTCCTTTTGCTGATATAATTAGGTTGTAAATCATTTATTACTGTGTTTCAGATACCAGGAACTCGCCCACCGAGTTGATGAGGCCCTTGGATTCATGGCTGCTGCTGGACTCACTATTGATCATCCTATCATGACTGCAACTGATTTCTGGACATCTCATGAATGCTTACTCTTGCCATATGAGCAGTCGCTTACTCGGTTGGATTCGACTTCTGGTCTTTACTATGATTGTTCTGCTCATATGCTTTGGGTGGGTGAACGAACCAGGCAGTTGGATGGTGCTCATGTTGAATTCTTAAGAGGGGTTGCCAATCCTCTAGGAATTAAAGTAAGTGCGTCAGATTAAGCTACCAGTTTTTCATTTACTCGATACTCATGTTGGAAAACGATGCTATTCCGTGTTATTCAATTGATCATGTCCTGAAAATGCTCCTTTTATACACTTTTGGATCATATTCCTGAGACGGTCTTGACTGAATAAGTTGAATCTTGTGGTGTAGGTAAGTGATAAGATGGATCCAAGCGAGCTAGTTAGGCTCATTGAAATTTTGAATCCTCAAAACAAGCCAGGGAGGATTACAGTGATCACTAGAATGGGAGCTGAGAATATGAGAGTGAAGCTTCCCCATCTGATCCGAGCTGTTCGCAGGTCTGGTCAAGTTGTCACCTGGGTTTCCGATCCTATGCACGGGAACACTATCAAAGCCCCCTGTGGTCTCAAGACCCGCCCCTTCGACTCTATCAGGGTATGAAATTCATCCTTTATCATTCTACTTATAGACTACATCAGGAAGGCATGATTTGTTGAACTTAGAGCCACTGCGTAGTTACATGATATTCATAAATTTAGAGTATATTGAGGGAAAATAACTTTGAGACTGAAAGAAAATTTGAATTCTAATTGGGAATTTGTTCAGACAATTGTATCCAAATCTTTTGGTCTACCCTTTGAAGTGCTTAGAATTAGTGCGGGATGGAACCGCAATTGTAATAACCTAAACCCACCACTAGCAGATATTGTCTGCTTTGACCTATTATGTATCGCTATTAGCCTCACGGTTTTAAAACACGTATGTTGCTAAATCCACCCACTTGGAGACTTAGTTTCCTTGCTGGCACACCGTTTGGTGTCTGGCTCTGATACCATCTATAATCGTTCAAGCCCACTCCTAATAGATATTGTCCGTTTTGACCCATTACATATCCTTTTCGAACTTCCTCTTAAGGTTTTAAAATGTGTCTGCTAGGGGGAGGTTTCCACACTCTCGTAAAGAATGTTTCGTTCCTCTCTCGGAAAGTAATGGCAAAAATAAGAGTAAGAAGGTATTGTCGACAAGATAAAGTTGTCCACGTGGAGATGAATGATCATTTGGTAGGAAATGATAGTTTATGAAAGATTTTTGTGGAGCAAGTCAAAATAAGATTCATGGTCTAAATTCTTCTTAAAGAATTGTGGTAGGTAGGTAAGCGGGGTAGGTATGTTTCCCTATCACCAAGTTGACTGCACCTTTTGAACAACCTTTTGGATCATGACATTTTTTCCACCTCTCAATTTGCTTGTTTTACATGTCATTGTGGGTCATCCTAGTTGGCCAAATGTAACGGCCCAAGCTCACCACTAGTAGATATTGCCCACTTTAGCCTTTTATGTATCGCTGCTGTTAGCCTCCCAGTTTTAAAAAAGGTTTCCACACCCTTACAAGGAATATTTCGTTCTCCTCTCCAACTGATGTGGGATCTCACAATCCACCCTCTTTGGGAGCTCAACATCCTCGCTGGCACACCGCTCAGTATCTGGCTTTGATACCCTTTGTAACAACTCAAGCTCACTGCTAGTAGATATTGTCCACTTTAGCCTGTTGCGTATCTCCGTTAGCCTCTCGGTTTTAAAACGCGTCTATTAGGGAGAGGTTTCCACACCCTTATTAAGAGTGTTTCGTTCCTCTCTCCAACCGACGTGAGATCTCCCACCAAAGAACTCTGAATCTAACTAACAAGTTTTGACTGGAATTTGCAAATATGTGTTTGTTTGAAGAAAGCAAGTAATGTGGAGATTGTGTTGGCAGGCCGAGGTTAGAGCATTCTTCGATGTGCACGAGCAAGAGGGCAGCTACGCAGGGGGAGTTCATTTGGAGATGACTGGGCAGAATGTGACAGAATGCATTGGTGGATCAAGAACCGTAACATTCGACGATCTGAGCTCACGCTACCACACCCACTGTGATCCTAGGCTCAATGCTTCCCAATCTCTCGAACTCGCGTTCATCATCGCAGAGCGGTTCAGAAAGAAGAGGATCAAGTTGCAGAGTTCTCTTCCCTCTTCAGGCCTGTAAAATGCTCTAGTTAGTAGAGTTCGAGTTCGTCCTTGTAACGTTTTCCTAGTCTTTTCCACTCTTCCGCTGCCCCACTCTCTAGCTATATTTGGTTGTATTGCCAAGAAAACTGTTGGTTTGGATTCGGGACACCCTCATAAGAACAGAAGTGAATGAGGTGAAGAAATGGGAAATGAGTGCCAGTTTATCCCATTCTCCATCTCTTTATAATATATGTTCCTCGTTTTGATGATTGTTCATTTTCTTCGGAGTGGTATTAAGATAAAAACTAAATGAACTTTTTCACTCGGTCCTTACCTTTTAGCACTTTGCATTCCAATTTGTTAAGATATGTATGTTTCGATCAAAAGATGGAAGGTTTGAACTCGAAATGTTAATATATGGTAAGACTAGAATTCCTCTCCGTCAAGTGTTCATTGGATGACTACAGAAGAAGGTTTTAGTTTCTTGAAAGTATGTTTATGCCGAGGAAAGAGATCACTTTGGTATTCATGGTCCGAATTGAATTGGGTTGAAGAATTTTTTTGGACAACTCAAAAGTTTGGTTTGGTTGGATTGGTAGCCTAATCCAATCCAGAAACAACCCTTCCTAACCTTCTATTTTCGAGTTGGTTTCGGGTTGTGAAACAATGAAATTCTGAGCGGAGAAGTCTGATGAGAAATATAGGGTAGAGAAGTTCAACAACAAATACAGAGCGGAGAAGTCCAATGAGAGTGGAACGAAGCACCAAGCAGAGAGACAGCGATGTCTTAAGAGAAACACAGAGACACGTTGACATCTAACAATACACAGAGACAAGACGAAAATTGAGAAGTCGAATTGATCCAATAATTAGAAATTCGAACCTGAACCAAGTTAAATTCCATAAAGTGAACCGCACCCAACCTTTATAATTCCAATTAGCTAGAGAGTGTTGAATGTACACCCCAACACGCCAGAGTTCATATTGTTCATTGATTTTATGTTAATTACCATAATAAGTCACGGATAAACCTTAAAACTCACATAAATGACTCTCTAACACACAAGATCCTTGAAATTCAAGTTTGTATGTTCATTTAATTAAAACATAAATGTAACCTAAAAAACAAATCTATATCATTAAATATAAAGAAGTCTTTTGAGATAAACAATGGAACTTCCACTAAAATTGAAAAACTGCGAGAATTCGTCAAATTACTAAAGTTGGATTTCAAAATTCCTCTAGGCTTAATCATGAAATTTGAAGTATATCAAGAAATGGCTATCCAAATTAGGAACCAAAAATCCAATCCATTCTAGATATCAAGAAAGCTAAAAGAAGATTCTTTTAAAAAGCAAAACAGGATGGCAAAATTTAAGACAACAGAACGCTGAGACATAAATAATACGAATTAACTAAGCAGCAATGGACGGCTTTGAAGCAGTAGAGAGCCTCGACCTCTTCTTTGCCAAACTCTCGCTGCGGCGTTCTCTTTGCTCCTTCAGCCTGGACGCAAGGAGCTTCTGATACTCAGCAGCCTCAGACTTAGCCTTCGCAATTCTCTTCTTCTTCTCTGCAATTCTTCCTCGCTTCCTCTGCAAGGTCAGTGGGGTAACCAACCTCTGAATCTTGGGGGCCTTGCTAACTTTTTTGCCTGCCAATCAACAAAGAAAAAACCCCATGAGAACTTAATTCAAGAAGAAAGGGAACTGAATGTACAATTTGTACCAAATTGGACTAATCTAGATAATCTCAGAGTATTCCTGTAACAGCCCAAGTCCCCCACTAGCAGATATTGTCCGTTTTGGACCATTATGGACTGCATTCATCCTCGTAGTTTTAAGACGCATCTACCCGGGAAAATTTTCCACACCCTTCAAAGGAATGCTTCATTCCCCTCTTTCACCGATGTGGGATCTCACAATCCCACCTTAGAAAGCTTGTGACAAAACATAGCATAGTTTATTAAAGGAAAACATTCATCCAATTTTATCAAAACAACTGTATTAGACCTTGACCTATACTTGGGCCATCTTATCTAGCATTGTTGGAAAATTAAACTCCTCTAATCCTCCCCATCCACGACCAAAAGAAATCCAAAACAATCTTAGTTTGTTAAGCTAGGTTTAAAACTCACAAAAGGCAATGTAAACCATACCAGATTTGGTGGTGAATGTTCTACGGTATGTGTTGACATACTTTCGAACATCGTCTTCCTTTGACAGATTGAAAAGCTTGCGAATCTTGGATGCCCTCTTGGGACCCCTCATTCTTGGTTTCTCAGTGTCTGTCAAGCCAGGAAGATCATTGTCTCCCTTCTTCACAATCACCAAATTCAGAACAGAAAGGTCTTGGCTGACAATGCAACCACGCACAGACTTCCTCCTGCGTTCTCCATTGCGCCTTCCATATCCACGGAAACAAGGGGTACCTGGCCAAACAAAAACAAATAAATACAGGCTTGGATACTTGGGATAGTACTATAAATTATTGGAAACAAAGAATATACACCACAAATTAGATTAAACGGTGCCACAGACCTCTGTGTAGAAGGAGACGGACACGGCCAGGGGTCAACACTCCCTGTTTCATTGGGAATCCCTGCTTGTCGCAACCTCCCATGATTTTGAAAACATAGCCCTTGAATTCCTGAGAAGAGGAAAAACCTCAATCAGTAAACTCAGCCACAGCAACGAGGAACTGAGATTTAATATAATGGATCACAGAAGAGCCCACATACCTCTCCGAGTGAGTCTCCACTGACTTCCTGAGAGATCCTCTTGTCAAAAAAAGCACGGCTAAACAAAGAAAATGGTTCATTTTAGTCAATGAAGAAATTTAACCCAGGTTAAATATGATATCATCCATGCAAACAATAAAGGTTTAGTAATAAATTCAAAGATCCAGGCATGTGAAGCCATGCTACAGCAAATATAAGCTTCAAGACATGAAGATGTACTTTTCAAGCTAATCTAAGTTTCAAGCAACTGAACATTACGGTTCTACTAGACCAACCTACGTATTTATGTAAAGTTTACAATAGAAAAATCCGACTGAAGATGGAAAGAACAATTCATAAACATAGAATGCACATTCGTTACTAAAACAACAAACTGAAGAACATAGGGATTTGAAAGCTAACAGTTTCTGGTCATCGTCGATTTCGAGTTTCTTCTGGCATCCAGTGGTCGGATTCGCGATATTAAACTGAAAACAAAAGAGCTCAAAGTTAGAGTTGAATCAAATTAGAGAGAACAATCAGGAAGAAGAGGAATCGAAGGTCGAACCTTCATCTTGTTGAGATAGTCGTGAAGGCAGGCGGCCGCAGAGAAGATATGAACAATGGAGCGAGGGAGCTACGCCTTCTTTAGGGTTTAACCTTGGCGCACAAGGGGATTTATATATGTGCTGTAACGTTTTAATATTGGATCAAACATAGTGGGCCTAATCTAATTGGGCCGCCCACACTAAGCCCAATTAATCTATTAAAGCCCAATCTACCAGAGCCTTTTCAATTATTGGGCCTAATCTAATTGGACTGTCCACACTAAAGCCCAAATAATCTATTAAAGCCCAATCTACCAAAGCCTTTTTAATTAGTGGGCCTAATCTAATTGGACTGTCCACACTAAAGCCCAAATAATCTATTAAAGCCCAATCTACCAAAGCCTTTTTAATTAGTGGGCCTAATCTAATTGGACTG